GAGAGGGCTGAAACAGGGGGAGGGGTGAGAGGGCTGAAACAGGGGGAGGAGGGAGAGGGCTGAAACAGGGGGAGGGGGGAGAGGGCTGAAGCAGGGGGAGGGGGGAGAGGGCTGAAACGGGGGAGGGGTGAGAGGGCTGAAGCAGGGGGAGGGGTGAGAGGGCTGAAAAAGGGGGAGGGGTGAGAGGGCTGAAGCAGGATGCAGAAACTACCGTTGTTAAAAGAGATGTGTTAACTTAGAAAATTATTTCTTTCGATTTGGGCACAATTTTAATTGTCAAAAACTCCAGCAAACCTACCGACACTCCACCCCCCCACCCCCCCGCCGCTTCAGGTGTATGACGTCATCAACGACTAGTCGAAGTCGATTCGATTTTCATTACTTGACTGTCGACTTTAAAAAAAAATTAAGTCATACTACCCCTATCGTGCACAAGTCTACTATTGCAGGGTTTCCCTTACATAGCCGCAGCCGTGGCGGGTCGCCACGGCTGAAATCCCACCGCCACGCCTACAAGATCCCAAGTTTTATTTTTTTTTTTTTTTTGCGCTGTTTCTCGAAGAAGCAGCGGGAACTACTATGTTGTCGCTTGTGATCACAGCCGGCAGGCAGCAAGGAGGAGCAGGCAGGGCAAGGTGAAGTTACAGCACAAGTTACTGAGTTTAAAATTAGAAAGGTAGCAGTGGATATAATGCTTTTTGGTTTACATGTTTCAGTAGCATTAAGATAAACGAGTGTTGATGATCTTGACAGGGTTTCCTCGCCCCACCAGGCTAAGCATCACTTATTCATGTAAAATTTATTTATTTTTTCATGTCTGACTTTAACCACATCTAATACTGTATTACGGCGTGAGCGCAACAGCGACAACTTAAGATCGATGCGTGAGCAGCCTGCGAGGTCTGGTGTTTTCATCTGAACCCTTAAAACCTCCAGCAGGCTACGCTGCACTATTGACGTGTTAGCACGCGGCGCTAACAACTTAGCGACGTGACATGTCTCGGAGAAAGCGTAAAAACATGTCAGACACTTCTTCTGAAGCGGGAAAATAACACTTCTTCTTAAGCAGAGCACGACGTCGCCTCGGCCCTTTCACCCTCTGCCGAGCCGGTGTCGGTACAAGATCAGCTCGGGGTCCTTCGACTGCCGATGACGTCAAAGTAGTTGATTGGCTGAACATGCACCTTACGGAATTACGTAATCACGTTATGTTGGTCCAGGCAAATTTTTCTGTTGGAAAGATGGACAACTTTTACAAAGAAATCCATCATTACCTCTTTGAAAATACACTTTTAGCATAGAGCTGCATGTATATTAGGGCTGAACGATTAACTGCATGTGCAATTAAATTGCGATGTGACAAAAGGAGATTTTCTAATCGCAAAGGCTGTAATTTGGCAGCGAGTGGTTAGCGCAATGCTAATATACATGGAAAAACCCATAGGAACGCTAATGCTAATATCACCGATTACATTATTACAAATTATGAATTAGAAACGTGCCAAATGATTACATTTGGAGTCTAATAGAAAGTAAAACTACCATCAATCAAATAAGTACAGACAGGTATTTTAGTAAAGCCAGAAAACTTTTAACTCCAGAGTTTTGGCTAGCAGCTATGAGCGTACCTGAACTACGCATGGACAAGACGTCAAAAACTCTAAACACAAAATACTTCAATAAACGGGACACACTTCTTTCCTGCAAATACAATTTCACAGGTGTTGCTAATACCTATGATCCTTCAAGGGATGTGCTCAAAGAGGAGTTCAACATTATGAATAAAATTTAGTGTTTTAATTTTACAAATACTATTATAAACACAAACTTACGTCTTAAGAAACATTATTTTAATAACGAAACTGTTAAATTCTTTCCAACAGTATAAAGATGTGTAGTGTATTTTGTCCGAGTGGGTTTGCCATACTTTCACGTCATCGGCAGTCGAACGACCCCGAGCCGATCTTGCACCCGAGCACATCCTGTACCGACACCGGACTGAGCTCGATAGCATTGACCCAGCACAGCCACTGGGTCGTTGGAGCTGCCCCGTGACTGCCTGATGGAAAACCAGCGGGTTTCATCAGACTCGTAAAGTTTCTTGTTTTTGCTGGGGACCCCCTGTATTTTACCGCTCCCTCCTGCAGTCTTCCCCTATTAACATTTAAAATGATTCTGTAAATTTCGTCTATCAGTAGAAAAAATCTCTGCCTCTGCCAGCTGCAGTAAATGTAGTCTCCAAATAATAAATAAGAGGTGCATTCATCTGTGTATCTCCTTCGACCCGCATTAGTGATATTCTCAGCACCAGAACAGTGAAGCAAAGAAACATTCCTGAGTTTGTTAGTCATTTTATTTATTAGGTGCATCTAATCTGTTCTATTTTTCTCTGAAATTAGATCAAATCAGTGCTTCTATGGGTTGTCTCTACACTGCAGTAGAAATTTTTACTTTATTTAGAGACGTCCACCGCCACAGCTGGAAAAATTCCTAGGGGAAACTCTGTATTGAAGCTGCCGTTAGGCGTTTGGCCTGAGGGGGCAATCGCAAGCATAAAAATTCAAAACTCAGAAAAGTCCCTTTAAGGTGAGAACAGGTGATAATGATATCGATGAACTCTAAATGTCTTCAGAGACGCTTTAGTTTAAGGTAAGTGACAAGCTGCTGCTAGCTGTTCATGAATGAACACAAAGACAAGGACGGGTTAGCACATAAACTGTGGGCGAGTGACACATTAACAACGGTTTACCTTTAACGTCCATCATACCTTCATGAGTTCAGTGTGCAGGTTCCTCCCACAGTTCTCCTGGAGGCTCTCGTCTTTTCCTTGGCTGGAAGAGCTGTCATCTGAATGAACAGGACAGAAATGTTGCATCAACATAAGGCAGATCTGTCTCCACGGGACACTGCGGTCCCTGCTGATGGGCTGAGTAATCCCTAACAGGACCAGACTCATTAGATTTGTGCAGCTGAATATCCTAACAACATTATAAATAGACCCAAGGCTTTCATCGGCATAAACCAGGGATTCAGTTCAATAGAATGACCTGCGGCATAGTCCAGCATCTCTGCTCCGTTCTTCTTGTCCTGTCCGGAGTCCGCGCTGCTCTGCAGAGCCTGTCTGAGTGTGATCACCCAGTCCTCCATCTCCGCCTCGCTGTCAGCAGCCAGGAAGTGGCTGTAGCGGTCCTGCATCTTCAGCTCAAAGCCATGTCGCCGCATCTTAGGACTCTAAAGGCAGCAAGAATTCAGAAACCGACTTCAATAAGTTAAACACGTAGATTTTTAGTTACGTCCGTCACAACTAATCAATTCTAAGTAAAGTAAAAAACCTGAATGACATTTCATGTTTTCTTTTAAACTTAAGACACGATGCATCTTAAGTACAGCTCTCTGAAGCGGTCCCTCTAAAACGGAGAATAAATAAAGTCAGTAGTAATACATCCATCCCTCTAATCAGAACGAGTCTCTACTCATTCATCTACTGAGCATGCAGGGGCGTGTCCAGGGAGTGGCCTGGGGTGACACATGCCACCCTTAGAATCTGACTGGCCAACCAGGTGCCACCCTACTAAGTTCCAGTTTAAATTGACTTTACATTGTCGACAAAAGGTACCTTTAACATCGTCTTCTAGCCCAGGCCTACAGAACATTTCTGTAGTATTGATATTATTTATTATTTTTTTCATATTCACATAAATAATATTTAGAGTCCCACTCAACTCCAGTTGGTGGCAGCAATGCAACAAGAAGTGACTTGCTAACCACCACAAAACTAGAAGATGAATAGAAAAAATGGTGATGGTGCAATGTCAAACTCCAATATTCACTAGAAAGTAAATAAATAAATAAACGATTTGCATATATGAATAAATAAATAAGCATAACCATTGGTGCCACCCATGCATAAGCAAGTGCCCCACATGGGCCACCCCATTTTAAAAGTCCTGGACACGGCTCTGCGAGCATGCTCATTCGACTCAGCTTCCCAGCAGTCAGCCCAGTGCCCAGGGCCAGCGGCCAATCAGAGGAATGCAGTGAATCTGCAGCGATAATGGCAGCTAAAAGCCCCTAGAGAGCGGTGAGAGGAGGAAGCACGCCGACTTTCACAAGGTAAGGAACTGGTGCCAAGTGCTGGAAACACTTGATGAAGAAGAGCGGAGAACACGCAGCAAGCTCACCAAAGCTTCAGCCGTACCTGAACCACATCGATACAGGAGTCCAGGTAGATGGAGCCTTTGGTTTCTTTACAGTTCTTCTCGTCCTTGTAGGAGTTGAGGATGTAGGAGCCGTCGGGGAGCTGAGACAGGTAGAAGTAGCGCCTTTTAAACACCTGCAGGTCGACGGCAGCAAAGGCAGAAACTGAGTAAAACGTCATCACATTGATTTCTGCCATTGGTTTAGTTGAGGATTCCTTCCAGCAGCTGTAATTTAATAATGAGAACGAAACAGCCAGCTGCTGACTCACCCTCATGGAGACAGACAGGCTGCTGTTGATGTTGGCTTTCTGAAGCCAGCCCTGCTTCAGGATGCCTCCCCTCTGGGAGCACAGCGACGTTGTGTCCTAATGAACAGAGAACATGGTCGGCACTCACAAAAGAGGAATGGTCACCGGGAAACAATCTGGAAAACTGTTCAGAGAACGAATAAATTGTCATCTCAAAGTTTGCTGACTCAGCTTTTAAGATGGAAATGTGTGTGAACGGCAGAGGGATGTGAACAGTAATAACCTGCTGACTTCCTCTGACATGAAAATAAACTTAACCCCAAAATAAGCATTTCTACTTGATTTATGAAGAAGGGATTGGGCACCAAAGAAAGTCCAGCAGCACCAGGACCATCTCCTGAAGTTACTCCGGCTGTGGGGTCAGGGAGGATGTTTTGGTGTCAAGAAGGGCAGCAAAGAAACCAAGAAGGTAAAAACAATCTCTTTTACTCTGTGAATAGGAAATAACCCAAACAATGGAAAAATAAGCCGCTTATTTCGTGGAAACCCTTTAGGGACAGACTGATGTCCGGCTAAATGTCCAGGAGTTGGACTGCTGAGGTCTGAATCCTTTTTCTGATTGTTTGGAGCATCTGGATAAAGAAACAATGAACGCTTACTTCCATCAGTCAGGTGTCCTCCAACAGAGACCATTCATGGGGGTGGGTGCTTCTCACCAATGGAGTGAACTCACTCAGTTTAGCTTTATAACAGTCACAAATAAAAATGGTACCTAAACATCCTCCCAGAGGAACTCCTCCAACCATCCAACATCAGTTTGGTGATGACTATACTCTTCTCCAGCATGATGGAGGAGGACCAGGCTCCAGCATGATGGAGGAGGACCAGGCTCCAGCATGATGGAGGAGGACCAGGCTCCAGCATGATGGAGGAGGACCAGGCTCCAGCATGATGGAGGAGGGCCGGCATGATGGAGGAGGACCAGGCTCCAGCATGATGGAGGAGGACCAGGCTCCAGCATGATGGAGGAGGGCCGGCATGATGGAGGAGGACCAGGCTCCAGCATGATGGAGGAGGACCAGGCTCCAGCATGATGGAGGAGGACCAGGCTCCAGCATGATGGAGGAGGGCCGGCATGATGGAGGAGGACCAGGCTCCAGCATGATGGAGGAGGACCAGGCTCCAGCATGATGGAGGAGGACCAGGCTCCAGCATGATGGAGGAGGGCCGGCATGATGGAGGAGGACCAGGCTCCAGCATGATGGAGGAGGAACAGGCTCCAGCATGATGGAGGAGGAACAGGCTCCAGCATGATGGAGGAGGGCCGGCATGATGGAGGAGGACCAGGCTCCAGCATGATGGAGGAGGAACAGGCTCCAGCATGATGGAGGAGGGCCGGCATGATGGAGGAGGACCAGGCTCCAGCATGATGGAGGAGGACCAGGCTCCAGCATGATGGAGGAGGGCCGGCATGATGGAGGAGGACCAGGCTCCAGCATGATGGAGGAGGGCCGGAATGATGGAGGAGGACCAGGCTCCAGCATGATGGAGGAGGACCAGGCTCCAGTATGACGGAGGACCAGGCTCCATGATGGAGGAGGACCAGGCTCCAGCATGACGGAGGAGGACCAGGCTCCAGCATGGTGGAGGAGGACCAGGCTCCAGTAATGGAGGAGGACCAGGCTCCATGATGGAGGAGGACCAGGCTCCAGCATGACGGAGGAGGACCAGGCTCCATGACAGAGGAGGACCAGGCTCCAGCATGATGGAGGAGGACCAGGCTCCAGCATGACGGAGGAGGACCAGGCTCCATGACAGAGGAGGACCAGGCTCCAGCATGATGGAGGAGGACCAGGCTCCAGCATGATGGAGGAGGACCAGGCTCCAGCGTGACGGAGCCTGGTCCTCCTCCATCATGCAATGTTTAGGACTCCATCGTTTACTCAGGAAATGTGGGTTTCTGATTCTGCTGGACGTGGATCCAAGAAAGACACCAGAGGGGAGGGGTGAGTGTTTCTGACCGTGTTTGCAGCGTAACGGTATGACACGACTGTTTCCCCCTCTCCTCAGCAAGAACTAATCTGCATGAGATATGGTCTCAAGGTCTCATGCATCTGTTATAACCTGCTTCTTTCCAGCTCAACAGAAGAATGAAGAATGGACTCTCTCCTTTTAATAAATCAAAGAACTCTATTTTAATAAAGCTAATCAAACAGTGTTAGTCAATAATAAGATGTGACCAATCTGTGAAATCAAAATATTAATGACTTCATTATAATCCTATAGAATATAATAAGTAATATAACTTTAAATGTTTCCACTAGGACTGATCTCACGTAGCGTTAAGACATGACACATTGCTTTCACTGATCCAATCAGAATCTGCCAGATGTGACGGAGGCGTGGTTTTGGTGGTGTTTGGTAAATCTGTCATCTTTTCATTCGACCATAAACCAAAACATCTGAAGTATAAAACTATGCCCACATCTTCTTTAACACCAGTTCAAAGCGTTCTAGAGAAGTTGTCGGAGTGGCCAATCCGTAACTTTCCTCTTCAGCCGACAGAACCAACGACAAGCTGGATAAAACCTGTTGCTGTTCCACCTGCTGCAACGGTTCCTTTCAGAATAAAAGCTGAACCATCACGACCCAGGTTTGGGTCTTGTTAGATGCCAATAAACTGTCGTGACCCGGAAGTATCTCAAGACTGGTGGTCGGCTGCCGCGGCTGCTTCTACAAGCTTCGGCTCCATAAGGTCAAGCTGGACCTTTACACCTCCTGATCTAACGGGGACTTCCACTAAGGGTACGTAGACCGACAGAATGGCGTTGAATGTGTTTATGAATCTCCTAACCAAAGCTTAGCGCGAAGACATCACCTTCATTTCCCATCAGAACTAATCGCTTCTTCGGATTTGCTGGTTCTGAACAACATTCCACACTACACCATTCTCCGTCTCATCCACCTTAGTTACACCATACATTTAGTGTTAAAGTTAGTCTAGTTTAATTTGTTTAGTAATAAATCTTTAAACTTTTAAACTCGACTCTCTT